ATCTATCTATCTATCTATCTATCTATCTATCTATCTAAACAATTTATATGGCCACCCAACTCACTCATGGTGACTCTGGGTGGCTTACAAAAACAAAAATCCCAATACAAAACCCATTCCACCCCCCCCCACCCCCCTGGCATCAATACATTTACACTAGCCATTTTATGGGCTCTGGGTTGACCTGGGATCCCCTGGCCTGCTGGCACAACCATGTCTTCAGGGCCTTGCAGAAGAGCATCAAGGTGGGGGTCAGTCTTATCTCTGCAGGGATGATGTTCCACAGGGAGGGAGCCACCACGGAGAAGGTTCCACTAGATGGACTTCCTTAATAGAAGGGATCTGTAACATACCCTGCCTCCCCAATCTGATGGGTCAGGCAGATGAAACTGGGAAAAGGTGGTCCTTCAAATAACCTGGCCCCAAGCCATGGAGGGCTTTAAAGGTGACAACCAACACCTTGAATTGGACCTGGAAGCAAATCGGCAGCCAATGCAGCTCCTGCAAGAGAGGTGATGTGTGCAAATCTAGGTTTGCACAAAACTATGTGGGCTGCCACATTCTGAACCAACTGAAGCTTCTGGATATTTTTCAAGGGCAGCCCCATGTAGAGCGCATTACAATAGTCAAGTCAAAACACTTTTCTTGTTTTCTTCATGAAAAGTCAGTCTGCTTTCCCTCCCCATCAACAGGGCTTTTTTTATTATTATTAATTTATATTTGCTTTGATATACAGAAAGAAAGAGAAAAAATGCAAAACATGCCAAATAATAATAATAATAATAATAATAATAATAATTATTATTATTATTATTATTTTAAATTTGCTATGACCACCTATTCTAACAGACTCTGGGTGGCTTGCAAATAACATAAAATAAAATAAAATAAAATAAAATAAAATAAAATAAAATAAAATAAAATAAAATAATAATAATAATAATAATAATAATAATAATAATAATAATAATAATAATAATAATAATAATAATAATAATAATAATAATAATAATAATAATAATAATAATAATAATAATAATAATAATAATAATAATAATAATAATAATAATAATAATAATAATAATAATAATAATAATAATAATAATAATAATAATAATAATAATAATAATAATAATAATAATAATAATAATAATAATTATTATTATTATTATTATTATTTGATTTTATTTTATTTTATTTTATTTTATTACAGACTCTGGGTGGCTTGCAAATAACATAAAATAAAATAAAATAAAATAAAATAAAATAAAATAAAATAAAATAAAATAAAAAATAAAAAATAAAAATAAAAAATAAAAAATAAAAAATATAATACAGTAAAATACAGTAAAAACAGTTTAAAACATTAAAACAACCCTGACAGCCCAGACTAAAACAACCATAACAATAACATGAAACCACCACAGAGGACCCACATTAACCCCAGGCTTGGGACCAGAGCCAGGTCTTAAGAGCTTTCCAGAACCCCAGGAGAGTGGGTGCCAGTGATGACCTCTTGAGGAGGCATACCACCACCTCCTTCGAGGCCAGCAGGGCACCCCTTCTCTCAAAGAGGGTAATACCAGTGCATGGACCCATCCTTTGGTCATCTCCTGGGCTGCTTTAACGACCCAGAAGGGGCTAGAATCTAACAGACAGATGGCTGAACTAATAGATTGGATGACCTTGTTCACTTCCTTGGGTGTCACAGAATTGAACTCAGTCCAGATAACCTCACAAGACTGTGCCTCAGGCAACTCACTTGGACTTGCCCAGCAAAAGTCCAAAATGAATACAAATGTTCTGAGACATATATATAATGTTTAAACATTTTAGCATTAAACCTTGACCACACAAAGTAATATTGGCAGTCTTTCTATTATATCAGTAGACAGCCAACTCATAAGCAGAGACATATGATAAGATACATCAACAATCCAACATGGTAAATCTGGAATGGCATTGTCTTTCCATTATAACAGAGTAATCTTTTTTGCTTATACCCCAAGCTTGGCTTATCTTATTCTGGGATGCAAGTTTCATGTTATGATTATACAGGAACAGTTTTTCAGATGCTTTCAGAACATAGATTTCAGTTAGTATAGCTTCTTGGCTTTGATATAGTTTCCAGCCTCAAAAGCATGTCACAAAAGAAAATGTTGCCATAATCCTGGGTTCATCTTGGGAATTAATTTTATTTTTGTTTATGCCAATTTCCATTTGAAGCACTGAGGCTGTCAACCATTAGTCGCTGGACCCAATGTAGTCTACGACAAAACCACTTATCCCAGTGTTGTCCAAACTTGGCCACTTTAAGATGAGTGGACTTCAACTCCCAGAATTCCCCAGCCAACTTCTGGGAGTTGAAGTCCACTCATCTTAAAGTGGCCAAGTTTGGACAACACTGACTTATCCTAAGACCCTGACTTCCTGCTTGGAAAGAAGCCAGCCTAATGCAAAACTAGAAATAGCACTTTTTGAAGAACCTTGTAGCATTTTTTTGAAGAATAAACATTTTTGTGGTATACATTTTCTTGGAACAGAGTAATTTTTTTCACAATTATCCTGTGAGAAGGCATATGGATAAAGAGAGAGATAGTATAGGTGGGGCAGGGAGCACGGAAGCACTGGAGACAGATGACAATTAAATATTTTAAAAAGCAGTAAATCTTTAAAGTTTCAGAGTATGCAGAGTATATATGTGACTATGTTCAACAGCAGTAAATGGTATTAATCAGCCTACA